CCACCCGCCTCTCCCCTGGCAACCACAAGTCTGTATTCTGTGTCTGTGAGTCTGTAAAACATGTTGAATATTAATTAGCCAGAACATGTAACTTCTGGTTGGGCAGAGAATATGTCTCTTATTTACCTTTAGAATCGTTGATGCCTCATACAGTAATTAATAAATATTTGTCTGAAGAATGAGTTACAGTGTAGTCTCTTGGAATATTTTCTCATCAAAAGTTTTCACCCAGACAATTTGTATTCCTTTAAGCCACAACTGATCATCTCTACAAAATAATTAATAAATATACTATTATTCTTTCTTATGTGTGGACCTTAGTGTCTATTCAGAAAATTGAAACATATATGTATTGACTTATAAAATGAGTCACAGTGGGGTTTTCTTTTCCTTCCCCAACATTTTTGATTATGAAATTTTCATACAGAAAAGTTGATAGTATTACACAGTAAACACCTAGATACCCACCACCTACAGTCTACAGTTAACATTTTAATATATTTGCTTTATCAAATATCTATTCATCTACTCACCCTATTCATCTGTCTGTCAGTCCATCTTCTTTTATGTATACATTTCAGGGAAGTTGCAGGTATCAGTACATTTCATACCCAAAACATCAGAATTCATCGGTAATGTTTTAAAATAGAATCCTTTTGGAGTATGACGCTGAGTTCATGTGACATCATTTGGAACAGATAATTGTTTGGAAAATTAAATTTTTATCATCTTACTTTATTTTCCAGACTAGATTGGAAGGGCAGATGAGAAAGAGGAAAAACCAGGTCAGACCTGTATCATTTTATACGGTTGACAAAGGATTTTCATGTGCATTATCTTATGTGATCCAGTATTGTTATTAATAGTAGTAGGTAATAGTTACTGAATGCTTATTTTATGCCAGGCACTGTGCTAGGTTTACCTTTAATGAAGGTACTAATGCTAAATTATATTTATCCCACTGATACTCGATTGTCATATTTATTTTTCAAATTGATTGATATGTTCACTTAAAATATTTTTTAGGCCTGTGACCTGCCTTTTTTAAATTCACATTCGTCCTAACATAACATGCTCCTGTGGTTAGACCGAAGTCATTTAATTGGTGTTTGGGTTCCTGAGCACAAAAGTGTTTTCTTGGGCGTTGTGTCTTTTTAGGTTGCTGTTCATAATATTTGATCATATTTCCAATCGCTGAAAATCTTCCTGTGTTCTTCGATTATCTCTTGTAAATCAGCCTCTAATATCCAAAATGTTGCATGACTTTAAAGACACAAGATGGATTATGTGAGAATGGATGCCTAATAGTTCCTTCTCTCTGGATTATTAATTATCAATATCCTATGAATAATAATAGCTAGGATTTTTTTTAATATTTATTATGTGCCAGATACTGTGATTTATATCCATTATATATTTAATACATTTAAAAGTCCCACAGAGCTGTTAAATGACTTGTCCTGGGTCATACGGCCAGTCAAGGAGAAAGCCAGGACATGAGTCTTTCAGCTTCTGAGCCCTTGCATTTGATCGCTGCCCTGGTGTTTTGCATGGAAGGGCTGCTCCTCAGCCCACCTGCATCCTAACTGCCTGGGGTGATGGTTAGAAGTGCAGACCCCCGAGCCTCGCTGTAGACCTGCTGAGTCTCTCTGTGGGCTAGGTGTATTTTTCAGTCATTAGTTGATTCTCACCTGCACATAAGTTTGAGAACCCCTGTGCCATGCTATTCTATAAGCATTATCATGTTTCAATCTCTGTTAGCCTAGAAAGACAGCCAGAATCAATGAATCATGCTTACCCTTGGAGCTTATGATGTTTTGGATTGATCTTTATGTTTTTGTCTTTACCTTAAGATTGTCATGGATTTTAAGCACCCAAATGGGGTCACGGTGCCAGTTATGTTGCCTTGTCGGAGCTTGTTGGTGATGACAGGAGAATCCAGATACCTTTGGACCCACGGGTATGTACCGAAGCGACCTTGGTGACAGGATGCCTTGTGCTTCGTGAGAGTTCTCATCCTTTTCTTCCTGAGCCGCCTGAACCATGCTGCCATGCGTTTTATTTCTCTCTCACATATTATCATTATTTTTGCTGAATAATTTGACATCATGACCCTTTACCCTTACATGCTTCACTGCATATTTTTTAAGAGCAAGGACGTTGTCTGTATGAGAGGTTGGCAAACTATGGCTCATGGGCCAAATTCAGCCCTTATTTTTGGACAGCTCTTGAGCTAAAAATGGTTTTACATTTTTAAAGGACTGTAAAGAACAAAACAAAAACAACAAAGAATATGTGACAGAGACTACGTGGGGCCCTCTATGCCTAAAATGCTTGCTGTCTGGCTGTGTTTCAGAAAATGTTTGCCAGCCCCTCTTCTGTGAAACTGTAGTGCAATCTTCAAATTCAGGAAGTTCAACATTAATAAAATACTCCCATCATACTCTTACACAATCCATCTTGAAATTCTGCTGGCTGTACTTTATAGTACCATCGAGGGAAAACCAGATCCTGACAGCCGTTAAAAAGCAAAAACGGATCTTACTCAGGAACTGTTGCAATAGGGGAAAAGAGACCTCAGTATAGCTTTGGGCTCAATTTCAAATACAACAAGGGAAAATGGAAGTTTACAGGCTCGGAGCCTGGGGTTGGAGGTGGGGCAGCGTGGGCAGATGGAAAAGTACTGGGAAGAAGCATCAGCGGTGAGGGGACTTCTGGCTGAACGTACTGCAGGACTCTTGCTGGAGGCAGGCGGGATGGTTAGACATCCCCCGGGGGGGGAGGATGACCGCAGGGAATTCGGTCAGATACCAAGAATGATCGTAAATCGAGGGTGGGGGATTCTGGCCAAACTGACTTAGTAGGATTCTCGCTAAAATTGGGCTCTAGGTCGTGCCCATGGATGGGGACTGTCTGGGCAGAGAGGAGTTTGACTAAAGTTTGGTCAAGGAGAGAATCTGCCGGTACCTCATGGTAGGTTTTCCCTCCTCTGATCTAGGATGTGGCCCTTGACCCTGCACTGCATTAGTTGTCAGTTCTCTTTCCTTTTCCTTTAATTTGGAATAAATTCTCAACTCTTCTTTTTCTTTCATGACATTTCCACTTTAAAGAAGGCTATTTGTTTAATAGAATGTCGCTCAATTTGAGTTTGATTGATTAAATCTAGTCTGAAAGAAATGGGTTATTCACTGTGGCAGGAAGAAATGCTTAGCCTTTGAGGAGGAAGCATCACACTGCTCCAATTTACATATACTGTCACTTAAAATACTGCTGAGTTCTGCACTTAGGAATACTGCCCTGCTTGGAGATTTTAGCTGACACATTTTCATAAAAATTCAAGGAAGTGAACATGTAAATGAATTTGTAACCTGTTATAAATGAGCCATAAAAACAGATGGCCTGATCTTGTGCACTGAGGCTTAAATTTGCCTGATTTTTTTTATGGCCATTTAAAATATTTTCACTTCCAGTCATTGAAAATGGTGACATGATTTTATGGTTTAAAGTATTCCTGAAATTTTGAGAATATTCACATTTTATATTTTGGGGGGATTCAAGGATTTTTACTGTTGGTAACATTTAAACTTAAGAATAATGGTAGCACAGCAAATACAAAATAAAAAATTACTTTCTGTGGGCCTATGTGACGAAACTATTTTAATTTATTCTGGATAGTAGTATAGATAGATTCTCCTAAACATCATTTTGATCACATTATTTTCTTGTTAAATGTTAAGACTAGGATCTCTGAAAGAGTGAATTGCAGGTAATATTTATTTTAAAATCCTTCTGTACAATCAAAATTGTCTACAGTATTTTCAGGGGAAAAAGAACCCTCAGTAGTATTTGTAGAGGCTTCCACTGATACCCATTACCTGTAATGTGAGTGTGTGTGTATTAAGAAGAAAGAGAGAAGTGGGGGGAGTGAAGACACACAGAGACAGGAACAGAGAGAGACTTGACCAAACAAATGGTGTATCAACTATTGAGGGGTTCGTCGGAATATGGGTGGAAGGGAGAATAAACTGAAAAAGTACTTTTAATGCACTTAAAAAACATATATAAACTGTAGAAATAAACTTTGATAAAAGATATTTTGCTCTCTCTGCTTAAAAAAAAGCACTAGAAAGCACTGTTAAAGAAGGCTGATTAACTCGGCCAATTCCAAACACTTCTAATTAGATATAGTTCAAGTTTACTATTCCAGCCACCATGCCCTCAATCAAAGGTGGCCAAAGGCCAGCACGTGGTTCAAAAATAGCACCCAGGCTGTTTGGCTGGGGCAATGGTGGTCAACATTGTAGCGTTCTTAAAAATTGATTACAGATGAAAATCAGGAGCTTTTGCACAGGAATCTGAATGTTCAGCTTCGTTTGAAAATTGAGAAGCTCTGGAAACGTCAGTATCTCTTGGCAGCGGCGGCTGATTGTCAGTGGCCATTAGATGAGGTCTGCGTTTTCAGTCTCTCTAGAGTTCCTGCCGCTTTCTGTGATCCCCTGAACTAAGGCTGAGTATCAGTTCTCATTTATCACTATGCTTGTGCTACCGTTTTTATCTTATAACAGCGTTAAATGGAAGTTAAATATTTCTTAAACTCATGTCTGTTTTTAAAATGGAGGGAAAAAGCTGGAATGAGCAGGAACGTGTTCTTTAAGAAAAATGGAAGACAGTGCTTTGTTTTTTTGAAATGAAGACGTCCTGTGTGCTTAATGGCAGTGTTTCTCAGCAGACCCACCTGCTTTACTCATTTATGTTATTTGACTGGCTGTGGGATGCGGTAGTGTACGAATTTGTGTGAGCTCGCCTTTTTAAATTGTCTTTGGAGCATCTCCTTTGTGCCAGGCATGGTTCTAAAAGCTTTACATATATTAACTCACTTAACTCAAACTGTGACAGTGGAAGTTTCTTCATGGTTTTGTCCCCATTTGTAAAGGAAATTGGAGCATACAGAGGTTACGTAATTCGTACAAAGCTATGAGACCATTCAGTGGCAGAGGCGAGCTCAGAAGCCAGGCAGTCAGGCTTCAGGCTCTGTGCTCGTGATGTTGCAGCTAAACTTGTTTGCTCCCTTTGATCTGAATGTTTACTGTGCCTTGTAGCCTCCACACTTTTGTCAGCTCTTCCTGCAGTAAATTTCCTTTTCCTTTCCTTTCACTTTGTTTTTAATATACAGCTCAACTTTCATTTCCTTTATAATGTATAAAGCTTTTTCTGACTATAGTAGCCTGAAATAATTTCTCCCTTAACTCTTAAAGGCTGCCTTGTCTCCTGCTGGCTTGTGGTGTCTTTTATATTGTGTTGAACTATTATTATTTAAATTTGTAAAAATGGTTTTATTTAATATTTTCCCAACTAGGTTATAATTTGAGTGCCGGGGGAAATAAGATGTTCAGAGGTATTTAAAGAATTAATTATTTTTAACATACGGGTTACTTGTTTCTAAAAATCTGAGATTGGTGCCAAAAGCAGTTAAGTACTGCTTGACCTTTGCCTAAGACTTAACTCTAGGCAAGTAACTCATTTCAGAGAACCATAATAGAGAACTGCTTAGTACCCAAAAGAGAATTGCTAATAAGAGTTTCAAAATATTCATTGTTCTGAAATACCTTGACTTTGTTCAACACCATAGTTTTAGTCATTTTTAGCTGTCAGAATAACAATCGTAGAAATTCAGGCAATGATTGCTTGCTTTTACTTCTGAAAAATTGCCTTTAGCACAAGCTCTTTTAAGGCAGCTTTCCTCACAATTTGTTTTATGAGGCTGGCGTTACCCTTACCACCAACATTTTTGTCAAGGACATTACAACAAAGGAAAATTACAAACCAGGATCTCTCAGAGATGAAAAAAGTCCTTGGCAGAATATTAGAAAATCCATTCCTGCAATGTATAAAAAAGAAAACACATCAAGACCAAGTGTTTATCCCAGGATTACAAGATTCGTTTAACATCTGGAAACCGAACAATGTAATTTTACCACATTAAAAGAACAAAGGAGAAAAAATATGTAATCCTTTTGATTAATATAAAAACATATTTGACAGAATTAAGCACCCACGGATGATAAAAACTTGGCAAACAAGAATAAGAAGGAAACTTCTTCAGTCTGACAAAGAGCATCTATGAAAACCCCACAGGGAACATCATACTTAATGGTAAAATACTGAATGCTTTTTCCTAAAACATTGAGCAGGGCAGGGATGTCTACTCTCATCACTACCATTTAATATTATATTAGATATCTTAGTATAATAATTCAAGAGAAAGAAAAATCATACAGATTTGAAAAGAAAAAGTAAAACTCTTTATGATTGTAGATGTAGACAGTCCTAGGAAATCTACAAAACAAGTACTAGAAGTAATAAATATAGCAAGGTTGTAGCTTACAAGGTCAATAATCAAAAATTAAGTTTTGGAAAATGAAGTAAAATCTTTTAAAAAATAACATCAGGCTCTTGTTATGGAA